CCTTAGTATACAAAATACCGGGCTTCAGCAAAATGACAAATTCGTGGCTGTTTTACTACATCATGATAGGAAACGGATTCCTTGAGCATTGGCATGTCAGATCCTGAGATTAATAACAGGGTCATTGCGTTTTTAATGCTAAGTCAGTATTAACAATTGAAGTTCCAACCATATCAACTAATTGTCGAGTTTCTACAGGCCCATGTAATTGGAAGCTTCGGTTCCTCAGCCCACGGAAAAAAACATCCTACTGGCTTGTTAACATTCTGTCCTAGAGTCGACAGCGTCGTCAACCGAGTTAGAGTGATCCAAAAGTCTTCAAGTTTAGCCTTCTAAGTATAAGGTAAATGCCACGGAAATGGCCCTATTAAGGATAAAGCAACTGTCAAAAGTGCCTATGCTATGGACAGAGGTGATGACATTAGTTACAGTAAGCAGCTGTGAAGAGGAAGCTAAGATCGCTGAAATAAAATCAGTTTTTACACGCCCATTAGGACACGTGCTCGAAGCTGTCATCAGAGACGGAATTAGATAGGGTATAACGCATCAAATATATTTCTCTTCTTCTTCTTAATAATGGAGCTGCTAACGGCTTCCATTATTGTTACCTCTCGTAAACCCTGCAAAGACCACGGCAAAGAATGAGGAAAAGTCGATCGGATTAAGGTCAATAATTTCATCCAGTCATTGCAAATTTCGATCGATATTGAGAGTAAATGCTTAGGAATGGAGGGCCGGCCATTAAAACTCGTCCATTTTCATAATCTTAAAAGTGCTAGATAAAGGACTTTTAAGTAAGGGATCACACCATTTTCCTGTGTATTTCATTTGCTACATAAAATGCGGCGCCAACGACGCCTGTCCGGATTCAACAAACCCTCATCGCCTCGCAACCAGCCGAGTACTATCAACTCCATCCCCTACCCTTTTCCTTTGACTGATTTGCCTGTAACGATGAACATAATTGCCAGCATATTACTTTTTCACCCTCCCCATGTAAATATAATAGCCCGAGGAGAATTTATTGAAAGCTATGTATGCTCATCAGATATTCTTATGAATTCTCTGATGGGAATTTTTGCAACCTTTTAATTTCATTGAACTTGAAACTATGGCCGGATGTCGTCCAATGACCCGCACCTTGAGGGCCACCGTCATTCTTCTCCAATGCTGCCGTGTACTAGGCTGGGCGCGTCTGCAGTGGTAATCTATCTTCTCCGACATAGTTAATCTGCATACAACTGCATCGCTTAATTCCTAATAAAGTGTCTCTTGATCAAGAAGAACACAGCCAAACAATTGGAGACCTACTTCGCATACGTGATCCGTAAATGAGTGGGCGCACATGGTTGACATCACGTTATGAATGTAAGCATCAGCCACTTCCTTCGCGGCAGCTGTTATCTCTCGTTAAAGTTCTTCACCGTAAGCAGTCTTAAATGTGGGTTCGCTGGCCTTTTATTTACTGTTTTATTTGAAGAGTGCAGATACGTATTCAAACCTTCAAGTAACTTAATGCTCCAAACAAGATGCTATTAACTTTTGCCGGGAAAACCGGTTAGGTTGATTAGGAAACTACCTATATTTGCTACATACTGCGCAGGAACTCGGTGGGAAGTGAACCCCGAGAACAGGTTCGAGCACCCACGAAAGTAACCTCTGATCAATAAGTGCAGTCAGGTTAATCAATTTTCAGAAGGCAGTATTGTATTGCCTGTGAAGTGAAGGAACGAAGTGCTAATGTGCATTTAGTTTACTTTCCGGGGGCTGTGGCAGGTAGTCGTCGAACTTTAATTACTTCGAAGAGCTTTCAGAAACGATTACTATCCGGGAAAAGTTGTAGTTCGGTGCATATGTAAACGAGACGAGAAAGTAACTGCACCTACTCCTAGGGTTGTCGAGGTATTCCTTACGTCAATAATGTGTCCAAGACCGTCAGCCTCATTGCACCACTCAGGGCTGGAATCGCACATCGACTGGAGGCAGCCATGATATATAAGGAATG